TGTACGAGAGTAGGGCATTCTGAAGATGTTTTTGGCATATTTTGAGCTGATTTTTGTATGTCTGTTAATTAAAAAAAAATTACCGGCATAGCCACCTTATAAAAGTAATGAATGGTCCCCAGACAGTAGGCCCAACAACAGAATAGACACATTTGAAGGGACTGAGGGCTTCTGAGGGCTGAGCAGATTTGAGGGCTCTGGTCATCTTAATGCTGGTTAATGCTGGTGTCGTTTCAAAATTTGTACGTTGAAACCTGACTTCCAACACAAGTATTAAGAGGTGTGGCCTTTAGGAGGTGATTAGGTCACAAGGGCTCTGTTTTCATGAATGGGATTAGTGTCTTTATAAAAGATGTGACAGGTTCCTTTTGCCTCTTCCACTGGGCGTATGTTTTGGAACCAGGTCCTGTTCTGCCTGGCTCAAAATATGCCCATCACTGAGATGAGTTTTGTCAGAGACGATTCTAGAAGTGTATGAAAACAAGAGGGCAAATTTTACATCTGCCTTTTTTGAGTGTATTAGCGACCAAAGTGAAGCAAACAACTTTTTGGTTCAGGAGGGAAATGCTGACTTTGGCTCAGGATTCCAGAGGTGCCAGTGTGCCAGGGCAGGGTCAGTGGGGTGGATGGAGCAATTTACACCTTGGTCTCCAGGAAGCAGAGCAGGCAGCTCACATTATGACAGACTAGAGACAGAGAAAAGAGGGTATAGGAAGAGTCCAGAGCAAGACAGCATCCAAGGACATGCTCCCAGTGACCTACATTCTCCAAGGAGGCTCCATTTCTTATTTTCCACCCCCTACTGATAAAACCATGATATACTGTGAATCATCGGGGGATTATTCCACTTATTAGGTCAGAGTCCTCATGATCTACTCTGGAAACATCATCACACTGAGAGTTGCTTCACTAATTCTCTAGGCATTTCTCAGTCCAGTCAAGCTGACAGTGAAGATTATCACCATCACAGAGAAGACAGGGTTTAGGAATATTTATAGACTGGAGCATGGAGAAAAGAGATTAAGGGCTAGGAAGTAATTGGTGGTTTAGGCCTTCAAGATCAAACTTGAACAAGTACAATGTTCGTGATCAAACTTGAACAATTACAATGACCCAAATGTCAGCTCTGAAATTGGTGATTTTTTTTTTTTTTTTTTTTTTTTTTTTTTTTTTTTTTTTGGAGACAGGGTTTCTCTGTGAAGCTTTGCGCCTTTCCTGGATCTCACTCTGTAGACCTGGCTGGCCTCAAACTCACAGAGTTCCGTCTGGCTCTGCCTCCTGAGTCCTGAGATTAAAGCCATGTGCCACCACTGCCCAGCAAAATTGGTGATTTTTAAAACCAGTTAAAAGCATGCAACCAGAAGCACATGAAGTAGGTTAAGTCTAGAGGGTTTAGTCTGCAATTAAGTAGGTAAAACAAGTGAGGCGTGAAGAATTTGGTTTCATATGGATGCAGGAATAAGGCACCATCTTTGAAATAGGCCAAACAAGTCCTCTCTTGACTCTCAATCTTCTGGCACTTTGGTCTTGGACTTCTCAGCCAGAACAAAGCAACAATTTCTGTGGTTTAGAGATTATCTAGGCAAAGAGTTTGTTATAGGAATCGGGATGGGTCCCATCTTCCAGTTTATTTCTGCAGCATGATGATAATGTATAGAAAGATTGTTCCAACATTTGGATTGATATGGCAGATGAAGTTTAGAGTTGCTAAGTAAGTAAAGTCTGGGAGAGAAGACAGCTGACCAGAGGAAACAATCTATTGATTAGGTTAACAGATCTTGAAGACGATATGACTGAATTCCTCAGCAAATTGTGCCAGAGATTCTGCTGGGAGAGCACTGCTTTGCACCTCACCTTGCACTGAGAGAGTCCTAATGAGGAAGACTCTACTGCAGCCTCTTCTTTGTTATTTGTTTTTATTTATAGATCAGAGTTTGTAATAAATGATTCCGGGAAGAATGAAGAGGGGTGGTGGTATACAGGGTGGAAGTTTCCAGAGCTGGGACAAGGGTGGCTGATCCCCCTCCCCATACATAGTTGTCCCTACTGAACTCCTTTTTAATCAAGTCCTTAATTCTGAGAAACAACTCTTGAGTTGGGAGGACTAGGAAATCCTGTTAGTGAAGGATAATATTTTCTCATAAAATTTCAGGAATCTAGCTACCTTTTATAAGACTACTAAAACAATCTGTGAAGTTCTTGCTATGTGCCTCTAGTTCGCACAGCAGTCCAGTGATTATATTCATTCTATTTTACACAGGGGCCCTAAAGCCCTTCAGAAGGTACAGGCTTTATATTTGGAGTTAGACACATGGGATTTGAAACGTTTATATTAAGAGAACACATTTGTAGAAAAATATTGTGCTTGCAGAAAAATTTGGCCTTAATGCTTGGGGTTCATCACCCAAGACACACTGAAATCTGCACTGGAATTGGACAAGGTGACCAGGGGCTCCTCAGCTAGCTGATTCCTCTCCCCATAGTCTCTGGTATACTGGATTTGAGGAATCATCTGTGCTGCATTTAGTATCTGTTCCACAGAGGCAGGACAGCTGTGGGAAGAAAGTCACTTCTTACCTGCCAGGACTACATGGCAGGAAATCATGTCTGAACAAAGCACCATGAAAGGTCTTGAACTTAAACATGAAACATTCTTGTTGCGGCTGATTGAGCTTTTGACTTTGTTCTGAGTTTCAGATTGCTTCCTTGTTTCTCGGGAGGTACCTAAGGGCTGTTCATCTTTAGAAGCTGCCTCTCACCAACACATGCTCACAGACACTACTGCCTTAAGAGAGAAGCTGGAAATACTTCCGTCACAATAGGGTATGTTTTTTCTGGGGCCTCTTTTTGGAATAGGTTGGCTGATTTTTCCAAATGTATTTTTTTTTAAATGGAGAATAAAATAAAAGGAAAATAACTATATCAGATGCCCAGGTATTTCAGTTTTTTTTTTTTTACTATTACTCTCCCAATATTGGCTATGGACTCAAGGAAGAAGCATCACCACGTTGGAAACCACTTACAATTATGGTGCCCCTCCCCCCTTCCTTTCTGGAACTCAGGCTTTTGTCATTTGTGCATCTCCCAGGCAATGACTGATCAGGAGGCATGGTGTATCTGCAGATCTGTCTCAACAGAACAAACAAAAACTAAACTGGAGAAGTTTCTGAGGGAAAAGGAAGTGTGTGGTTCTGGTTGTTCCTCATAGGCAGCTAGAAACTCATTTTAGTATGAATTTATCATGTTTACAACAGCAGAGACTAACTGGACCCTTTGAAACCTATTGAACCACTGAATTAACCCGTCTTAGAAGTCCACGCCCGCTGGGATTTCTGCTTTGTGAACTAAATCAATTGCTTTATTGTTTAAGACAGTTTAAATTAGGTTTTCTATTCCTGGCATCAGAAATAATTATAACCCAGGGATGTTTTGCCTATAGATGCAGTTAGGGCAGCTGGACTCAGAAGAATGGTAAAGTCACCCTATTGTTCTGGAAAAGCAATAAGATTTGTATTAGGGAGTAGAAAATGAAGCTCTGCCAAGCCCCTGTTAGTGTGACTACCCAGCTATAGAAAGGGATGGGGAAGGGAGGAGGTAGGGATAAAGAGAGTTGGGACATGTTTGCAGGGATCTATACCGTTCAGACTCACAGTGGTTCCACCTGGCTTGAGAGCAGTGTTCTCTAAGAGATGTGCCCTTAGAGAGTCACCTTAGTGGATGTGTTAGGTCCACAGAGGCCCTGATGGAACTTGCATTTCCACAGACCTTTTGGAAAAGCCTGTTGTCAATAGCGACACCATGTGGCTACAAGGTGCAAGAACAATGATGTTAGAGCCCTGAAACTTGAGAGGTCTTCCTTCAGGTTTGTGGAAGGTGGACTTTCCCTTACATATTTTGGATTTCTTAAGCTCTATTAGTTTTTGAAGATAGTGTAGAGGGACCATAATTTTATTTTTTCTTTGAGACAAGGCCTCATGTAGCTCCCGGTGGCCTTGACTTTTGCTTTGTAGCCAGGGATGAACTTGAACTCTTGTTCTCCTGCCTCTTCCTCCTAAATTCTTGGATTACAAGCATGTGCCACCATGCCTGTCTTAGGCAGTGTTAAGGATCAAACCCAAAGATTCGTGCACTCTAGGCATTCCACCTACTGAGTTACATCTCCAGTTACTGTTCCCCACAAGGTTTAGAATCAGTCTTAATTATATCTCAGTGGGCACTTCTCCCTCCCGGCTACACATTAGAATCACTTGGGGGAACCTTACAAACTCTGGACACGTGGGTCTCCCATTCCAGAGATTTTGATTTAATCAACCTGGAGGCCCGCAGATCAAGTTTTCAAAGCTTTTCAGCGGTTCAAACTTGAAGCAAGGGTTGTGCCTCCCTGGCCTTATGTAACCCTCCTTTCCTCTCCTGAAGCCGCAAACCCTTTACTAAACAGGCTTATCAGTGTCTAACAGGAGTCCACCTCCCTAACTAGACTGAGCATCTTCAGTCGGGCAGCTCAGTGCTTCATAGACATTTAAAAATGTTCATGGAGAAGATGAAATGCTATAAAGAAACGTTGACTGGAGTCCCCCAAATGCCAGCTTATATATACACTGTTCTTAGCTAGGTCTGGAGAGTCAAGCGTGCAGACGGTTCCCGGTCAGGGCTCGCAGATCTGGCTTGAGAGGGAGCTGTAGTGAGCGCAAGCATCCAGTGACGGCGAGGCTGGCCCGGCCTCACTTTCGCTTGCGACTGCTTTGTGTATTTCTAGCTTCTCCCGGATCAAAACGAGACTCCACATTGGTAACCGAGTCTCTACCCGAAGGTGCGTCCTGGGAGTGTGTGAACTAAAGACCTGCCGCAGCAAGACTGTGTGGGTGGGAAGCCACGCCTCCGTGGGCGGAGCCAATAATAGAGCGCGGCGCGGACCCCGCCTCCCTGGCGCGCCAGGTTGGGTCTCCCGCCCCGCTGGGGGGCCATCGAGTGCTTCGGCTCGATTGGTCAGCCTGGCCGCGCTAACGGTCGCGGAGGCGGGGCCCCGGCCGCGGGGCGGGCGCGCTGCAAGCTGCAGGCGGCGGCTGAGGTGAGTGGCGCTTGGGGTCGCCGAGGGCGTCGCGGGGTTCCCTTCTCAAGAGCACGCCCAAAGGTGTCCTCTCCGGAGCCCCGAACGTCTCACTGGCCAGCCAGGGTCCCCGGGGCGGAGTCGCCCCGGCTGCTAGGTGCGAGCTGGGAAGCGCGGGTGCAGGGGCGAGCGTAGACCACCCTACCGGAGCCGGCCCGACCCTGGTGCAGCTCCTTCCCACTCAGCCCCGGAGCCCCGGCTCCTGTCCGAGTGAATGAGGTGAGCGACCGGCTAGGGGAGGCAGGAACTGGAGCTTAGACTCGTCCGTAGCACCGGCTGGGTTCGGGGTTAGATGGAGGTCCTCGGGGCTGATTCGCTCCCGCTCGCTCGGCCGCGCTGTCAGGGGAGAGCGATTTGGAGCCAAGTGCGAGACCGCCGAGCAAGGGTAGGTGTGTACCCCTCCCTCCTGTCAGACTCATTACAAATTCGGGGGGGGGGGCGGGGACTGAGCCTTTATGTAGAATCCACGTTGACTAACTTGAGAGATACCACAAAGCCTAATCAAGATTCCCATTACCATCCACACAAGCCACGACTCGGGCGGAGAGAACAGAGGACACCCTCAGGTGTAGGTCCTTGCCTTCCACCTTGTTTGGGACAAGGTCTTTTGTTTTTCTGCGTCCTACCCGGGACTAGCGAGGAGAGCTGCGGTTAAATCCTCCTTCCATCTGGCCACGGGGGTGCTGCGATTACAGAATTCTCGATTTCTGTGGATTCTGGGGATTGTGTCTCTGCTTTCTTGCGGCGAGCGCCTTTACCCACGGGGTGTCTCTCTAGCCTGCCCCCTTATTTGTAATCATACCTTTTAGCGCTGCAGGCGTTGGTTTCAACCTTCTGCATTGCATGGACTTTGGTTTTTACTCTATTGTTTAATGCACCTGCTCCCCCAGCTTCCCTTGGGGAAGGAATTGGATGAGACTTCGTGCTGCTTGCTGTGTTGATGAGGCAGGGTAGCAGGCAGTTTTTGCCTCAGCTCAGGACAGGCCAGTTCTGGCCTTTCTTGTCATCTGGGATGGAATGATCTGACTGAGATGATCTCCAGGCCTAACTCCCTTTTAAATTTCAGAACAGTAAAAAGCAAGTTGCAATATTATTGGAATAGAGTTAGTTTCTCTTTAATTTTTGTGCAAGGTCTCATGCAGCCCAGGCTTGAACTCCTGATTTTCCTACTTCGATCTGAAATGCTGGGATTACTGCTAAACGCCACCACACTCAGCTAATTGTGTGTGTGTGTGTGTGTGTGTGTGTGTGTGTGTGTATGTATATATATACATATATACATATATGTGTATATATATGCATATATATACATATAAAGTTTTTTGAGACAGGGTTTCTTTATGTAGCCTTGTCTGTCCTGGAACTAGCTTTCTAGACCAGGCTGTCCTCAAACTCCCCGAGATCTGCCTGCTTCTGCCTCCCAAGTGCTGATTATAGGTGTGTACAACCACTGCCTGGCTATAAATTTTTAATGTATGCTGTGTTTTAACAGATCCCCAGATGCCTACAGGGCAATTTCATGAACTGTTGGGAAGCATGAACTGTGCCAAAATATATACTTTTCCCCCACATGATGACTCATACTTGTAATCCCAGTGCTCGGGAGGTTGAGAACAGTGGATTCCTGAATCCAAAACTAGTCTAGGCTTCTTAGTGAGTTCCAGGTCAGCCATGACTGAAGAGTAAGACCCTGTCTCAAAAAACAGATATATACCTCCAGTTTTCGGTTTTTTTCCTCTCATTTTTCTTTTTCCTTTATCTTTATTCTTTTTCTCTCTTCTCTTCCTCCACCCCCTTCTTTTTTCTTTCCTCCTTTCTTTCCCCCTTCCATCTTTTTCTTCTTGAGACAAGGTCTCACCATGTAGCCTGGAACTCACTTTGTAGACCAGTTTGGCCTCAAGTTCACAGAAACCCACCAGGATTTGCCTTGTGAGTACTAGGATTAAAGGCGTGAACCACCATAACCCACTAAAAACTTGTATTCTTTTTGATTATGTGTGTGTGCATATGTGCAGGTGCCCATGGAGAACAGAGGAGTTGGATCTCCTGGAGCTGAAGTTATGGGTGATTGTGAGCCACATGATAAGGGTACAGGGAATTGAATTCTGGTCCTCTGGACGAGAGTACATGCTCTTAGCCACTGGTCCATTCTTCTAGCCCTCCTTTTCTTTCTTTTTTCTTTTCTTTTTTTTTTTTTTTTTTTTTTTTGTGTGTGTTTTTGAGACAGGGTCTTTCTATATAAGCCCTGTCTGTCCTGAAACTCACTGTGTAGACCAGGCTGGCCTCGAACTCACAGAGATCCGCTTGCCTCTGCCTCCTGTGTGCTGGGATTGAAGGTTTCTGCTGCCATGCCTGGCTTCTTTTTCTTCTTGGGATAAGGTCTTATAATGTGTAGCCTAGCCTTGGTCCTAGGATGAGTTTTTCTTTCTGAGATTTCAGGGTTTTAAATCTGTGTTAATAATCTGTGTTGTGTGTTAATAGCCTGAGGTGGGGAAAAGACTACTGCAAGTTATTGGCATATTTGCATTAATAGGTAACACTTTCAAGGCTTTGGTTAGTTTGTGGTAGTAGTTTGAAATGTGCTCCTGAGAACGCTTACAGATTTCAGTGTGACTAACAACAGTTACAGAACTCAGAATCCCGGGGAAAGCTTGGTCACAGGTGCAGAAGTACTTCCTGCACTTCCTGCTCTTACTTGGTGTTCTCAGTACACTTGCCAGTAAGAATAACTCCACTCGAAGCCACAAATCAGAATGATAGATTTGGATATCCAGCCCATGTTTCAACAAAGTAATGGGAGAAAGGATAAGAGAAAAACAAGGGGAGGAATTTGATGAAGAACTTTGCACCATTCTTGTTACTGCAGTGTTTTTAGCCTTTGGTTCCATGGCTGTCTGTACCGTGGACACCTGCCTTGTTAACAACATAGGATCATTTTTAGTGACTGGCTGAATATTTTAAGGCTTGTATCTTTTTGAAATGTAGATCAAGATCCAGTTTCGGACATGCGACTCACTGGGTGACCATTTTATTGAGATCAACTTGGATGACCAGGTGTAAACTGCAAGAGGAATCACTATGACTGAGGTATGGCTAGTATAATGGATGACTCTAGATTTTTTTTTCCCATTCAGGGAGATAGCAAACAAAATTTATTATTGGATATTGTGCTAGATGATAAGTTACATGTTTTTTTGTTTCCTTCTGACTACCTGATAATCCTGCCAAGTAATATTCATAGTTGAAAGTCAGTAAGAAAACTGAAGTTCAACAAAGTTCAATAGACATCAACCCTGTCCTGCTGTGATGAGTGAGCACTACTCAATGCTCTTCGTGTATCTAGTGTTCTAATCTTTGCAAGACTTCTGTAAGCTACCTTTCCTCCTCCTCCACCTCCTCCACTTCTTCTGTGAAGAAATCAAAGCACAGAGGGATTAGTATTCCCTGGTTGTGTAACAGAATCCCCAGGCAGTCTGGTTATATGCTAGCTTTGTTTTGGTTAGTATTGCTTTGACATTTTTTGTTTTGTTTTGTTTTCTGTTATGATTTGGCAAATCTATCTCAAGTGGCTAGATGGGAGCTCTTTTGCTTATATAGAAACCTTGGGTAGGTAAGAAGCAGTTTCCTCAGTGTTGATAGCCTTGAGTTTGAGCCCTGGACTCTAAGCCTTGAGGACTAGAGGCTTAGGGCTCCAAGTTTTCAAAGCCTCAGAATCTCAACACCTAACAGCTACCATTATAGCTCTTGAGCTGTGGCTCTTAACCTGTGCTCTTGAACACTCCCAGTACTTGGACCTTGCAGTCCTCATGGCCCCAGCTCCTGCCTTCAGTTCTTCATAGTCTCTTGACTTTGGCACTCTTGCTTTTATAATACACCAGTATCTTTTGTGGTTTTCATATCTTGCAAAAAAAAAAAAAAACAATTTAAAAAACCAGATAAAAATATTTACTTGTTTATTATACGTGTGCCCACATGTTTATGTGACTGCACATGTGGAGATCAGAGGACAACTTGGTTGAACAAGTTGATTCTTTCCTTCTACCATATGTGTTCTGGGTTCATGGACTCAAGTTGTCAGGCTTGGCCTCAAGTGCCTTAACTCATTGAGCCATCTTGTTGACCCCTAAGTTGCTTTTGTCAGAGTATTTTATCATAGCAACAGGAAAAGAAGCTAAGAGACCAGTCATAGCCCACAGCTGCTGCACGATTTCTAGATCTGTCAATCACAAACCTTATATGTGCACCAACCATAATCCTCGATTAGGAACCATTCAAAAGCCCATATGTTGCACCAACCACAGCCTCTTTGCAATTATCCTGAGTGAGAATAGCTGCGGGCTAGTCAGAGTCATCTAGAGCTGGCCAAGGTCCTCTTGCCTGGAGTGCAGTCTTGAATAACCTTCTGAGGAGGGTGTTGTGATTTTAGAAAGGCCTCCAGAAGCAGGGGTTGAAGCGTTGGCAGCATTTGGTGGTTATAGTGTTGTCATGGTCTTTGCAATGGAATAGTTCCTTCAGAGTGACTGGACTACTCATAATAGCTTGACTGCCCTGACGATAGTTTGGGTGGTCTTCAAAGAAGAGGGGTAACTCCCTACTCAAGGCAGCCAGGCACAAAGGGTTTGACAGCTTGTCAGTTGAGAGGTGGAGTGGTTCCTTGCTAACTAAAGGAAACTTAAAGGATGCTTATAATAAAGACCTATCATGAGATTAACTTTCTTTCATTCTTCCTTTTTTTTGGTTTTTGGTTTTGGTTTTTCTTTTCTTCTTCTTTTTTTTTTTTTTTTTTGGTTTTGGTTTTGGTTTTTTGAGACAGGGTTTTTCAGTGTATTCCTGGCTGTCCTAGACCTAGCTCTGAGACCAGGCTGGACTCTGCTGTTGTGGGATATTTGACTGTACAGTGAAACCCAGGAGATTGTATTAATAAAATCAACCTTGAATCAGGGGCCAGAGCCAGCAACTAGTTGACAGGAATCAGCTATAGAGTATGGAGACACACAGGAAAGAGTAGGGAGGGACTTGGAGTTTGGCAGTCTTTTTGGTTTGGGACAGCTGCCAAAAAGGAAGGTCAGCTGGTTCCTTCTTAGCCACTCTGAGCTAGCAGGTTTTCACATCAGCATCTGACTTTCAAGTTTTTAATTGGTAAATAGAACAATAGAGACTTAGTTAAAAACTACGTGGTGGCAGAGCTGGTATGAGGCCTTAGGGCCACAGATGTAGTTAAAATATCAGTAGATTAAGATGCAGGTGTAAGCTGACAGAAAAACATTACCTCCCAAGTGCTGGGATTAAAGGTATGTGATACCACTGCCCAGCCAACTTTTTTTTTTTCTTCAAGACAGGGTCTCATGTAGTCCCTGATGGTCTTGAACTCACTATGTATCAAGAATGACCTTAAACTTCTGATCTTCCTGCCTCTACCTTATGTGCTGGGGTTACAGGCATGCTTTGATATGGGAAAGTCATATCAAATTTTATTTATTTATTAATTTTCATAATAATGAGTTTTGTTTTTTTTTTAACCAATTAGTTATTTTGCAATATTAGGAATCAAACCCAGAATCTTGCACATTCTAGTGAGGCACTATACCTCTGAGCTATGTTCTCAGCCTTGCTTCCTGATCTACTGAAGGCGTTTTTTTTTTTTTTTTTTTTTTGTTGTTGTTAAAAAAAGTTATGGTAGCCGGGCGGTGGTGGCGCACTCGGGAGGCAGAGCCAGGCGGATCTCTGTGAGTTCGAGGCCAGCCTGGGCTACCAAGTGAGTTCCAGGAAAGGC